AATCAAAATTCCGTTTCGTCCATTTTCGAACAGAACTTTTGTTAATCCAACAAAATTTTTGTTTCAGTGCGGATTCACGAATGCTACAACAGTTGCAAAGCAGCTTTTGCTGCTGAACACAGCCAGTCTTCGTACATTTGACGCTGCAAAAATTACGCGTCTCATCGGTCTCGGGGGTTGTCGGTTAAATAAACACGTAGGGATTATTCCTGTCCGTTTATAGCATCGAATTATGAACTTGCGAGATATAACGGCGCTGTGTGTGCGTTTCGCGCAACCATCGTTTTTCTCGTTCTCCCATATTTTTATCGCGCGACGTACAATAAGGACCTCTCCTCGGAACTTTGTAATATCGTGCCATGCGAGAAGATAATAAAAACGGCTTCTCGCAAGGTGAGCTTTCGAAAGTTTGCGCGGTACATTCGGAAAGTTTTCTTATTTATGTCTGTCTCTTATTAATTATTATAGAATGTAAGCACGAAGTTAATACAAAGTTGGCCGCGAAGAGCTCGTAGTAAAGCGCCGACGAGAATTTTATACAAGATAAACACTTTTCGTTTTTTCTTTTTTTAATACCTCCAAGTACAAAGTGCTACCGTATTCTCCAAATCCGATAGGACATAAACTCTCTTTCTCTCTCTCTCTCTCTTTCTCCGCATAAAATCTACTGCGATCAATTAGAAGCACGATGAAGAGAGATATATTCACGTTGAAGAAAAATTCGTACACTTGAAAATGATTTTCAAGTAACATTTATATTTACACGATATTCAACCCGGAAAAATGTGCAACATTTCGGATCCGCGGCAACGCAATAAATTCGAGGGTTTTCCTACTAGGGAACCGTAGTTCGGTTGCAAGGTGATGCCATCTGTGGCACTTGGCGGGAAACTCGTCTTAAAAATCATCCCCCCTGAGATCAATACGCCGTAGGGGTAGACAGCGGGTCTGCGAAATACAACGTACCGCTGCTGCACTCCAGGAATCCAGGAGGCGCGCGTTTAATCCTTCGCGCAAACGAAGGAGCGAGGGATCAAAATATCGCCTATATAATTCTCATTATTTATTCAATTAAATACACCCTTCGGTCAAATATTTTTCTCTCCCTCCCTCTTTCGAGCGAACGCTTCTCGCAGTCTCTCTCTCTCTCTGCGAGACACGTCTCTCTTATTGGCTCTCTGGAGATTAAAAACTTACCGCGCGCGATAGAACCAGCCTGACAGGCGTCGGGACTGCATCGAGTTTTCAAGTACGTCGCACGTGTATTATAAAGCAACGCGACTTATCGGGAGAGGGTGTATGTGCATTTGGGTGTAACGAGGCGGGTACACTTGGGGACACCCCGAAAGTACGCAGTCTCATATCTTGGCTTCTCTCTCGACGGATATTAGATATTTAGTAGAGTCTATCGGAATCTGATCGGCCGATTCGGGACACACGTGTACACGTCATCGAATCTCTTACGAAGTGTGCGTTAGATTTTATGCAGGGAGCAAACAACGAATCGACCGCGTGCATATACGTTATTGTGTGTGTGTGTGTGCATAAGCGTCCGCAGGATTTTTTCCAGGAGAGAGCATTATTAAATTTTGTTAATTTCATTGTTTTTTTATTTTCATTTTTTTTTTTAATGTGAAATATACAAATAAATTCCAATGTTTATTCAAAAGGAGCGCTTAATTTGTTTTATCGATTTCTCTTGCTCTCCTCTGCGGACACCCATGTGTATGTGTGTGTATGATTACACAATTTACACAAGATAGTACTGTTTTTCGCATACTTTAAATGAGTTGGAAAAAATTTATAATATATTGTACGCCTATCCTCGAATCCGAGCCGTTCTCATAAATATTAATTAACGTTAATCATGATTTTTCAGCGATTTTTCGCTGGAATATAAACGGAAACCAAACAGAGAGAGAGAGAGAGAGATTGATTAAATCCCAATTAACTTAAACTAAAATTTATGGAAACGCAAGCCGGAATAAGGGAGAAAGTCGCGCGATTTCCGCGTATTATACGCGAGCCTTTAAGACTTTAATTGCGAAAACAGATTAAGTACGAAGGTGGGCAAGGTTACGCGATCAACGGGGATCGATTAAGACCCCGCTTTCGAGAAAATATGCTAAATTCTCGCGACACTCCGCGGATATTTGTCATTAATTTAATAAGAGTTGAAAAATTAAGTCTACCCCGCGATTTAATTCTCGGAGGAGAAAATAATTTAGATCGTACTGTAGTCCGATCGGAGCGAAGGAAACCATAAAAAAAAAGAAAAGAAAAGAAAAAAAAAAATATAACAGCGATCGAATGACTCGGCGAAGACCCGGTGTGTATTCGGGTCAGGCATTCGGCTTACGAGCAAGGGTTTTGCAAAGGTTTCCACACGAATGATGTCTCCTTTGTGGCTTCTAATGAGATAATTCGATTTCCGCCGTGCCGCATTAAATCCATATTCGGCGATGTTGCGCGTGCGCGCGCCTTTCGCCATGCTTCTCTCTCTCTCTCTCTGAAACTACCTCGCTAAAAACGCCTTTCACCAAACGCAAATCCGCATTTACGCGAATCTCGCTCCTCCTCTTCCGCCGATCTATGATCGTGCTTCCGAGCTCCGGGTTTCGACAAACGATCGCCGGTCACGCTTTCGAAAAAATTCATTCTCCGCCCGTGACAAAAGTAGGACGCGTGTGCGCGCTTCGATCGCTCCGTTCCTCTTGATTTGCGTCGAAGTAAACTTCGCGGAATTAATTAACGCCCGCAAAAACGGCAATGGCGCTCTCCCTCTCTCTCTCTTTTTCCTTCCAAACTGCGCGCGAAAAGCTCGAGCTTCGACTACTGTCATTATTTCAACAATAAAGACAAGCCTTTTCGTGACGATGAAACTCGACGATGAGAGAGCAGGCTACAACGAATCTCGTTTAGAGAGAGGGGTCCCCGACGCGAAGTCGGCGGCGGCCATTGCTCCGACTCCGGGGATGGCTTTTGTGCTTTTTGTTCGACCGGGGGCCCTCTTTCACACCGCGCCATCCCTTCGCGCGCACAAAAGAACTCGAGTAAATACGAGAAACGCCGCGCGGGCACGTCGCTCGCACGTCGAACTCGAAAAAATCTCTTATCGATAACGAATGTCGATGCTTTTAAAAAGAGGGCTGCGACCCCCGCTGATGCGATCGCGAGATAAACAAGACTTTCGATGATGTGCAACGGAAGAGAGAGAGAGAGAGAACAGACAGGGTGTCCAGCAGACTCAATGAAAAATTTCCCGACCTTTTTTCAGATTTTCCAAGACCAGAAATTCATTTTTTCCCTGACTTTTTAGTATTATTTTTTTCCAAATATATACATATATGATAAATCATGAAATCTCTGAGATATTTTTGTCAATGAAAAGGTAATTCGAAAGGTAAAAAAACAAAAATTTTAATCAATTAATCTGCATTGTGTGCGATAATCGAAACAAACATGTCACTATAAACTATTTAAATAATCACCTCTTTTATTTATATTATTTCAAATTTTTTAGTTTTATCTCTATGGAACATATTGAAATAAAATAACACGACGATGAAAATATAAATTAATGAACATGCTGTAGATGAATCGAATTTTAATACAAAAAATTAGCGTGCTGGGAGTCAAGGAGAAGTTTATATTTATTTAATAAAAAAATTTCAAATTATTGAGACACAAATGTATAGAATAATGTGAAAAAATTCAGATAAATAGTAAAATTTCCTGACTTTTCCCTGACAATTCCAAATTTATAAAATTCCCTGACAATGCCCATACAGAGAGAATTTTAGAATTTACCCTGAAAATCATATGGTAATCGTACGACAATATGGTATTGGAAGAATCTTATGAGAGTTTCTCTGATTAATATTTACCACGATGAAAATATTAATATGTAGTAAAATTTACTACGTACATATTAATATTTTTTTTGTGGTAAATATTAATCAGAGAAACTCTTATAAGATTCTCCCAATACCATATTGTCGCACGATTACCACGATTTTCAGGGTAAATTTTAAGAGGAAATTCTCTCCTTGCATAGTTTTCCAGATTTCCCTGACCGCTAGACAGCCTACGAACAAATTCACGAAAAAAAAAAAAATAAATAAAGTAGAAGAAATATGGTGGCATTTGCGACAGCTTTCACTTCGCAAACAACCATCCGATTATCATGCAACATTTCTGTTCGATCCCACGACGAGTTAATACGCGCGAGAGACTGTAGAGAAATTCGCGATGATTTTTTTCCGCGCGTTCGCGACTGCCGAGCGATTAATGTCGCTTAGGTCATAATGGCCCTCGTAACTATTGTCGCCATCGGCGCACGAGACGCGCGGGTCGGTTTAATATTGACAGCCGCAGCAACGAGAAAGTTCATAGCCTGGAGGGATAGGACGGTTTGCAAGAGAGGATGGGAGATACACGAGGTAAGCGGCTTATTGCGAGCGACGTCGCCGGGATTTTCGGTAACGAAACTGCATGACTCTGTCACGTCGACTTTTCAACGATAATGCGCCTCTCGATGCTCTTTTCCCCGTCTTTCATTAAGAATCTTCAGCGTCACATCGCAAGATGGAACATAAATATATTCAACATATTTCAAAGATGAACGGACGATGATATTATATATAATCGTATCGACAACCGAGCGATTTAATTATTAAAAGAGGTTGATTTTAAAAAGTTACATTTTTAATTAATCGGTTTCTTATATTCTCTCCGTTGTTATATAATTGTATAACATTTCTGTCTGCAGTCGCGTTAAAAATGAAATAGCGTACATATAATCATTGTTAGAGACGCGAGCTGACATAAAGAATAAAATTAAATCTGCATAATTTATTGCGAGAAATGTTTGCTCTCGCACGTTGCTGCTAATTATTTCAACACGTTGACATTATAAAGTATAATAAATCTTACGTGATTTAAACGTTCATAAAAAAAAAAAATATATATATATATATCTTCTCGTATCTCTGTTTCAGCTGATAACATTCGCCGAGTACAAACCGGCCATCCATTTGGACAATCGGTATAGATTAATGAGGCACGAACCGATGTTAGACGCCGATGGCAATAAGACCGATAAAATTGGAAAAGATCGTGAATAATCAAGCAACGAGAAAACATAAAAAAAAAAAAAGTCGCAAAACAAGAAGAGACCTCGAATTAAATACCTACATACATGTATGTTTGCGTTTGTTGAAACTATTCAATAATTAATAGCATTTAACAACAATAACAATCAAATTAAGCACTTAACAATAACATGTGATGGGAATTTTTTTAAACGAATAAAACGAGATTTGCAACCTATTGAGATGTATCGTTTATTCCTCATCTATATCTCTCTCTTTCTCTCGTTCTGCGCATATATCGAATATTATTTGCAAAGGACGTCAATCGAACGCGATACCACGTGAGTCGTCTCTTTGACTACCGTTTGAGTTTGTTTATGAATCGATTCGTCCCTACCCTCAGCCGCGCCCCATTGCCCTCCCTCTTACGAAAGATACGATGCAAAAATACCGCATACCACTTTCAGGATATTACGAATTTTAGCGATCACTCGCCCTCATAAGCGGATAAAGTATTTCACAGGTAATTGTGCGAATAATACCGCGCGCATGTAACATATAATATTTATATTAGTATTTAAACTGACATATTTTACTCTTCATACACTTAATGTGAAATATAATTTCAGTCTCGCATTCTCTCTGCAGCTCAAAATAATATATATATATATATCCGTGCTCCATTTCTAATTATTAAAATAATTATTTTAATTGTATTTTAATAAGAGTTTGCTCTCTCTTCCTCCGGCATATTCGCCACGTTCGTTTCGAAGCTAAAATTGAGAATTCATCGCTCGCCTAGGAAAAAAACTTGATATAATTCGCTGTTACCACTTCTTGAAAAACAATGACGACATTGCTTGGTCTAGCTCGCAGTACAGTTGGTTGACATACACGTTATACACCCGAGAGAGCGAGGGAATAAGGCGCGAAAGCGCGACCGGGATCGAATCGAATCTCCGACGATAACCACCACGTGCTAATGGAAGCCTGGTGGTCTGCGTCGAGGGCCAGCTGGGTAAGTTCATGCGGATCCAGTCGTCGTGCGACCCTTACTGCTCTCCCCTAATATAATACACGGACAGCCACGCGACAGCTGTTGATCGTCGTTCAACACACATACAGCTAGTGAGAGAGAGAGAAAGCGAAAGGGAGACTGTATGTCGCGCACGGATTTACTTACAATTAGAGAACGAAAAGGATCGGGCTTCTCCAGGGTGTCAATAAAAAAATTCCCCCATTTTTTCAGATTTTCCAAAACCAGACATTCATTTTTTCCTTGACTTTTTAGTGTTATTTTTTTCCAAATATATGATTTGCATATATATCTATATCATAAATCAATGAAATGTTGAATCGTGAAAAGGTTCGGAAGTTAAAACAAAAATTTAAATCTGCATTATGCGCGATAATCGAAACAAACATGTCACTATAAACTATTTAAATAAGTACCTTTTTTATTTAGATTATATCAAATTTTTTAATTTTGTCTAACACAGAAAATGGAAGTCGAGGAAAAGTTTATATATTTATTTAATAAAAAATTTCAAATTATTGAGACAAATGTAAAAAAATCCAGATATAAATAGTAAAACTTCTTGACAATGCCCGGTTTTCCAGATTTCCCTGACCGCTAGACACCCTATGAATTTACTTACAATAATTAGAGGAGAGATCGGTACTTCTCCGGGATCGCGGGCTTCTCCAACTACTGTAACGACTTGTCCCCTTGAAACCCTTCTTCCTTGCCCCCTTACTCCCGGTTTCCCTCGATACACGGGAGAGACACGAAACTCCGAGTGTGTGTGGAAGGAAGTCGGTGTCGGCGCCATCGCGCGGTGTTCATCATCGAACGGGCCGACACAAAGGGCCCATTCAACGACGTACAACGATCCTCTCTGGGGACTGTTCTGCCGACCAGGCCACCGCCTGTTCTTGCTCAGCCACAATGCGGCCTTTGGCAGATGCAGCGCGATGCACTGGGATGCATTTTCATAAAACTCCGCTTCTTCGCGGAACGCGTTCCATTCCGACGATTTCGTTTGCTTAACGATTAACAATCATATCGTGTCTCTAACACGTGTGTTTGAATCCTTATAAAAATATTATCCACTCAACAAACGCATGGTAAAAGCGTATGCCGCGATTAATAAACTTCTGCGGATTTGTTATATTCTCGTGTTAATCGCCGTGGAATTAAATGTGATTTCGTGAATTAATCTGCTCGCGGTAAAAGAAAGTGCTAAATGATTAATCGCGCAAAATTCTGGTCTCTAGCTAAAAGAAGCTTTTCAAGAATAATTTGCGGTGCTATGCATTTGCTCGCAAATATATTTGCAGAGAGCAAAAATAAAGAAAGAATGGAATGAGATAAAAAAAAACGCTCTATGAGGGAGAAAGTAGCAGATTTAACTGTGGATAGGACAGATTAAATGCAGTCGATGTGTGTTAGCTTAATCAGCGATAGCGCGGAATAGAATCGCGGCTGTGCAATCGCAAGTTACGTACCTCGTATAAAAAACGAATACGTTTAATGACCGAGGAAAAAAATAGCGCGCTTTCCTCTCTCTTTCTTTTGTAAATGTGTGTCAGGTAATATTATCTCACGATTCAACGTGAAATTCGCAGTAATTTGATTTAGCAGATCGATTTAATTCAATTATTAGTTGGTAATAAATTGTTAATTAATGACTGCATCGATGCAGTTACACACGCAGGCAGGATACGGAAATTAGGAAATACGAATATCCCTGTTTCCTCTTAATGATGTAATCGATTCGATTTACAACGGATTTCCCTCGGAGTCATCGCGGTATATCTCCCGACAGACACGATTTAGGCACTTTCCGGAGCAACCGTACGCTCCTGCACCGGAAGAGACCGTGCCAGCTAACGAGTAAACGAGGCAGGTACGCGGTTCGTGTTCAACATCGAGGATTGGTAGACTTTCGTTGTAATTCAGAAACATTCGCGTGGTTTATTGGATCTCGAAATTTTCTATCGAGAAAAAAATTTTTTTTAAATTATTTTAATCTCATTATTTTTACGTAGCGTATTTTCCAGAAAACGGGAATATGAGAAAAGAGATTATATATGATAGTCATATCGTCCTTATTTTTAGAAAAACCACGAGAAAATTATTTAGTAGACTAAAATATTTAAAATAAAAAAAGAGATTGATAAAAATAAGTCTTATAAAACAAATGTCATGCCGATAACTTTGCATATTTTATATATAATTAAGAAAAATTGTGCGAATTAATATTCCATAGCATCCAATATTTTCCTCATACATATGATTTGTACACATATAAATCGTTAAATTTAAATCTTATAAAGCAAAATTAGAACACGGGGAATATTTTCTCTTAGAATTTACCCCAAAAATCATGGTAATCATGGGACAATATGGTATTGAAAGAATTTTATAAGAGTTTCTCCGATTATTATTTATTACAATAAAAAAATATTAATATGTGCATATATAGTAAATTTTACTATGCACATAGTAAAATCAATCAAACATATTTTACCATACATCTTATTGTGGTAGATATTAATATTTTCTATTGTAGTAAATAATAAGAAAAACTCATAAAATTCTTCAATTAACGTCATTTTCAGGGTAAATTCTAAGAGAAAATTCTCTCTCTATGTATTTTATATGTATATTTTTTTATATATTCTACAATTAAAAAAGAAAAGATAGAGAATTCAAGTATTTTGTAGAAATGAGATGTATATTTCCTTCTTCGTGATTTATGCAAACGACGAATGGTTCGCATCGCAATGACTGTATCATTACGTTTGGGTGGAAAAATGAGCAAACGGCTGCGGCGAAGTGCGGCGCCTCGGTGGGGCGATAAATCTATTTCGCATTCGTCATCTTTAAATAAAATGCATCTCGCGCGCCAGCGAGTTCAGAAAGAAGTTTTGCACGTATCCCCAACGCGGCGAGAGAGAGAGCAGCTGTTCCCGCACACCTGGCAGAGATTTTGGAGCCCCCGGGGCCGACCACTGGTTGGCTGCTCGTAATTCCTCCGGAACCCACCGCCGAAATTCTGCACGCGCCTCGAGCTTTCCGGAGAGCGAATCGCTTGTATATCGTATCCCCCAATACCCGTCTCTAATCATGGCACGAAATGTATTAATCCGCGTATACATTTTTCATCGTGTTGTATCCGCTTACTATATAAGTCTGCGCTAGCATCAAATGTTTCCGTCAATACAATTCGCATTATTTCGTTGCAGTGTCTTATAAGAATAATTGTGGTGTATAAATTTATTAAGTATATTAATTATATATTACATATATAATAAATATATATAAATTATATATACAGAGTGTCCGGTAACTAACGGACCAATGATTAAGGGCGGATTCTCTGGCTAATTTGGAGACGATTTTTCCTTAGCAAAAATGTTGAGAAGTCAACAATTTTCGAGTTATAAGCGATTGAAAAAAATGGGTTTTTTGAAAACTAAACGTTTTGGAGTTAAAAGTCTAACATAATTACATTTTTCAGTTAATTTCAGGTAGAGTTTACTATAATAAAATTTTAATTTGAGGCTCAGTTATAAAGATACATAATGACAAATATTGGAAAGTTGTAAAAAATGATGACCTTTTTCGACATTTTCGCTGAGGAAAAATCGTTCTCAAATTGACCAAAGAATCTATTAGTAATCGTTGGTCCGTTAGTCACCAGACACCCTGTATATATATATATTAATATATATTATATATTATACGTTATATAATATATTTTATATTATCAAAGAATATTAAAAAATATAATATTAATTTTATTGTAGTCACTTAAAACAGCAAAAGCCGTATATATAATATTAATACTTTTGCGAAGATATACATATATGTATATAAAATAAAGTTTACATCGCGTCGACTGTCTCAAGATACGATTTTTATAAAGTAATAAAAGTAAATCTCCAAAGATCGATTATTCTGCGCGCATCGTCGCATAAGAGAGACTTGGAAATTATTAACAAAGTGCATAAATAATAGAGAGCGATTAATCTACGCTAATTGAGAATCCTTCATAAACGCG